AAAAAAAGTTTTTTTCCTTTTGCATGTGTCCTTCAAAAAGCATCCAGGGCTCTGGGTGGCCGGTGCTGCACTGTTTCGCTTGTCGTGGCTTCCCCTCTCGGCACCTCCAGATTTTGCCACCATGAAACAAACGTGCTGACAGCCCTCAACTTTTTGTTTTTGATGTTTTTGTTTGCCTTCTCCTTCCTCGAGGAATATTGCTTAGCAGCAAGAAAAAGATACACACACACACACAAATAGCTCTAAAGGCTCTTGGCATTGTCAGTAATACTCCGTTTCACCTTACGATATACCGCGATGGACGCTACGAGCTAAATGATCCAATCCATAGTTCGTAGCTTGTCTCGTGATTTTACGCTCCCCGCATCGCTCCGCCCAATCGTAATGACACGGACACCCTCCAAGCTATGATATGGCTCCGGTGGCTCGTAGTGTCCTTTTCTGTCACTCCTATAGGTGAAAAAAAGTATATAAGTGTACTCCTACACGCCGACTCGCTGACGCCAATTTGTGCTGCACATAGACGTGAAATATACTTATTTGCTTCACTATTATTAGGCTCTCTCCATGTTGTCGCTGCCGTTTTTTACGTCAAAACTGAGCTGCTGACGTTAACGTCACGAATATTTAATTAACATAGCGCCATCACCCTCTAGAAGACGCGGCTCACGTTTGTTTACGTCGAACCATTTCCAATGAACTGGTGACCGCCACATAAGATTACTGTGCCATTTTCATCCTCGAAGCATGAGCCAGTAAAGGTCTATTCACACGATGCATCTTGTTGGCGAATCTTGTGTTGCGAAACTACCGGGAAACAGATGCCCCCTCTGAACGCGATCGAAAAAGTGGCACGCCTCCGAAAATAGGGGCGCATGTTCCTCGCTTCTGGAGCAATTTTTCGTTGAAACCTCACCGAGACCCGTCAATTACCCGAAGGAGAAACACGGACACTGCCAATGGCCGCTCGACTTCGCTATGAAGTCTGACCTTCGAGGAGGAGCGAGCTTTTGGAGGAGTTTGATTTTCGGCCGATTCCGTATCCTAGCCAAAGCCGAAAGAAAACAAACAAACATGGCGAGCCACAAGCGGAGAAGCGGTGCGTACGGGTGACGAGTCTTGGTCCTACTCGGTTGCAGGTCTGTGAACGGCGCCTACGGTACGGGTTGCTGGCGGGGTGCAGATTCATCAACAGTTGCGACGAGTGCGAGCACCGCATATAAACATGATGACTGGGGATAACTTTTTTTTTATTTTGGGTGCAAAAATGTCCGAAATGCTTCAAGATCATCTGCCTGTTCCGCGACGTTCGCGGTCTTTCCCGGATTTGGCAGGACCAGTAAACACAGTGAGCCGAATCTGACTAAGTTCATTGAGTGGTATTAATAAAACAGACTGTCTCTTCACACTGTGCATACTTCATATCATTTTGATGCGAAACGCTTGGTACTCCCGGTGCAGATGACAAGGTTTGGCGAAATTCTCGTGAGTCAATACGTCGCAGGTTTCGCGCGTCAAACTCCTTGTGTGAACAGGGCGATTTCGCGAAATCTTGGTTTCGCTAAACTGTGGCACGTTGAAAAGATGCATCGTGTGAATAAGCCTTAAGACAAGCTGTCAGTCACCTCAAGTGCAGTGGTACCGTTTCAAGAGCCACTTACCATGCGCAAGCTAATTGTACCATCAGCCCGTAGGCTCTAAATGAAAATCCACACAGCTGGCATAAGAACAGAGCCCATTCCATTTCCCCTCCATTCCGAGGGAAGTGCATCCAATTCCATTCCCATTCCATTCCCCAAAGTGGTGCCGCCATTCCCTTTCCATTCTAAGGTCACGAAAGTGGAATGATTCTGGAATCATCAGAGTGGCAACTCCGCAACACTGTTGTTCATTGCACTCGGTGGTTTAAAAGGAGCGAATTCGTTTATTTTATTGGGCTTTTCTAAGTTTGTTGCCATGCCTCACGTGCACACAGGGGCCTGTTTTTCCTGAATGTACATTTTATCAAGGACCTAAAAAAACGAGCTATATCAAATCTGACACCGGATTTATAAAGATGATTTAGCATCATAAACTAAAATATTTCATTTCAATAGTGGTAATAATAAAAAAAAAATTTCCCTTGGTGCTGTTGTTTTAACAATCTTGCGCTGCAGTATGCCACTGGTTGTGCACAGTAAGCCCCCAGAAGAGGGCGCTTGTAAAATATCTAAAAAAAAACAAAAAAATGAAAGCCGTTTACAACTCCCTGTAACGCCGAATTAGAGCGCAGCTCTTGAGGAGGAGGAGGGAAGGGTACTGGGGGGTGGGTCAAGTGACCTTAAGGGGCGGGGGTCACGTGACCTTGGGGGTCGTGACCTTGTGGGAGTGACGTGACCTTGGGGCGTCACGTGATGTCGGGGGGGTCACGTGACCTGGGGCCACGTGACGATGCCGATGACGTCATCAGTGACGTCACTGATGATGATGATGCGGATGCCGGTGACGTCATCAGTGACGTCACTGATGACGTCATCAGTGATGATGACGATGCGGATGCCGGTGACGTCATCAGTGACGTCACTGATGACGTCATCAGTGGCTATGACGTCAACGGGGGGTCACGTAACCTGGGTAACCATCGTGACCCTCGTGAGGGTAACCCTAGTAACCCTTGTGAGGGCAACTCTCGTGACCCTCGTGAGGGTAACTCTCGTGACCCTCGTGAGGGCAACTCTCGTGACCCTCGTGTGGGTAATTCTCATAACCCTTGTGACCCTCGTGAGGGTAACCCTCGTGAAGGTAACCCTTTTGAGGGTAACTAACCCTCGTAACCCTCGTGAGGGTTACGAGGGGAAGTAACCCTCGTGGGCCCTCGTGATCCTCGTGAGGGTAACCCTCATGAGATTAACCCTCGTAACCCTCACGAGGGTTGCGGTTACGCAGACGGCGATGCCGACGCCGCTCAAGCCGGGAACGGGCCCCTAAGAGCTGCGCTCTAAAAACAATGACCTGGCATGCAATCCGGGTGTTTTTAGTGGGCACAACTATTGCAAGTTTACATTGGTTTGACTGGGAAAATTCCTTGCTTTCTACTTTTATGTTTAAAAGTACCATGTATCAAGTTGCTTTTTTATTTGCCACTGTTGTGGCTTGTAGACATTGTGAACACAGTGACACATTAATAAACTCCCAATATTTATTTTCAGATCAATCTCTTGCATTGTCTCGGAGCAAATGCAGCGAACCTGCACATCGCTACTTCGTAGAACGGAGTGCTCACCAGTCAGGTCAACTTCCGGCAGCTCTGATTCTTCGCATAGATTGTTTATTAACTTAGATTCAACATCGTTGGATCAGCTTGCATGTTGCCATATTTTGGCCAGTTGTGTCCAATTTATCATCCATTTTCCCAACCCCAAGTAGCCAACTTGCCTGATCCAATCCACTAATGTTTCGTCTCAGTAAACAAACTCAGTGTGGCGAAGTAGCCCTCTAAAGGACTTCCCCTAAATGACTTCCTCTAAAAAACCTCCCCTTCGAGACTTTTCCTAGAAAACTACATATTTTTTTTAGCAATCTCAAATACTGACCTGTCATTTTTTTTTTATTATAATGAGGGGTACATCCATGCTGCCCCTGTCTTAACAGAAAATATGTCAAATTGTTTTGAATTGCACCAGTGATAATATTTTTCTTTAATTTTGTGTTGCCAGCATAGAGAATTGTTCTATATATTTGGTGATGATGCTGTACGTTCTCTTCATGCTTTCTCGGCTTGACCTGACCATCGTTGGACAGTTTCTTGCACTGTTAAGTGGTGTTTGCACGGTGGCAACCGAGTAGGACCGAGAGAGACAAGATTGGTTTTTAAGCCTCTTGCAACAGTGTAGGACCTGATGTGCAGCAGAATATCCAGTCCTCCTTTATCGCAAGAGGTTTAAAAATCGGTCTTGTCTCTCTCAGTCTTACTCTGTTGCAAGCGTGTGGACGGCGCTTTACATATACTTGCATACCACCAGTGCATTGGGATCTATGATTCTTGTCTGTTCAACCTCTTTTAAACCTTGTGATAAAAATCTGTGGCCATCGTCTCAAAGATAATCTGGAAAATACATCCCCAGGTAATGCATAGGTTAGGGAAAGCTTCACCACCACCAGCCAGCATTTGACACATCGCTTCTTTCCAACCATCCCTCTTTCCACCAATGTGACAGCACTAGGATTCAGTGATGCCAAAGAATGGGAAATTACAACTGCTCTTCCTCAAATTAAACTACCACACTACATCCAGTCCACTAGTGCACTGTTTATGTGAATGAAGGCAGTTTGAAAGTGCCGTGCTAAAATCGTCACATTCCCTTGAGTGACCTGTCACTCTCAAGTAATCAATCCTTTTATTTCACGTCAACACAGGATACAATATAACGTATGTTTTTAGCAGAGTATAACATGTTGCTGTGAGGTGGCAACCACTATTTCAATGCCAGCTCACTAGTTGGGTGATGGGAGAATGGAAGTAGAAGCTGCAGATTTCGAGTATTCATCAGGAATAAAATAGAAAAGTTAGCGAAGTCCTTTGATGTTTGTCGATATTGAATGCCCGAGTTTTTTTTTTTGTTTTGTTTTAGTATGGTATGTACATCAGAAAATGCACTTTTCCTGAAAAAATAAGTATTGCAGTATTTACGTTGCGGTACACTTTTGGAGTTCGGAGCAATTCCAAAGCATGGTTTACTTTCAAGACTGACCCGGAGGCAGAAGCATGTTTAGGAATTTCTCCTAACTCAAAATGAGTGATGACGTAAATGTAGCACTAACTTTTTTTTATTGAAATGTTTATTTTGTGACAGACAGGTCCTATACAGGCGCTAAGAAGCAATGTTTCTCGGGAGTGCAGCATTCATTGAAGTGAATGGCCACCTCCCACTACACCAGTGTTGATGTTCAGGCACTCTTAACCTGCTTCTCTTGGTAAAAAAAATGCCTGTTGAAACCGATTTGGCTTGTTTCTTTCACAGAGCCTGTTTCGAAAGCCACTAAAGTCGAAGAACAGGCACCTGGCTGTGAAGACACCGAGGGGAAACGCTCTTCTGAGAACATTTTGCTCACCGTGTGGCAGCAGATGGCGCAACCACACCGAGAGAAGAAATATGAGTGCCGGTTCTGCCCTTTCTCCAGCTCTCGCTCGTCGAACCTCAGGCAGCACGAAAGGACGCACACGGGCGAAAAGCCCTTCAGCTGCGCCGTCTGCCACAAAAAGTTTACACAAAAGGCTCGCCTACAGGCTCACGAGAAAATTCACACAGGTGAAAAGCCATTCAGGTGCCAGACTTGCGAAAAGGCGTTTTCAGACAAATCTAACCTGCAAGTTCATAACAGAATTCACACAGGTGAAAGGCCGTTCAGGTGCCAGACTTGCCAGAAGGCATTTGTAAATAGCGGTAACTTGACGCATCACAGAAGAGTCCACATGAGTGACAAACCATACAAATGCGGAACATGTGGAGCTCCGTTTAAGCAGTGGTTTCAGTTGAGGCGTCACGAGGAACTTCACGGTGTAGACCCATCATATCATTGCAAGCAGAGTGGAGAAAATTTTCTGGAGAAAGTTAATTTAAATGCACATGAGAAGGAGCATCATCCGTGAGGGACATCCATTTTATAGTAAAGGGTGGTGTAGCTTGACATATTTGCACAATGTCGTTTTACCCTTTTGTTCAAGACCACCTTGGGTAAACCTGATAACTGATTGCCCATTAATGAATCATGTATGGTGTAAGAGTACTGACTACCATCTATCACACTGTAGAGTCAGGACAGCAAAAAGAACTATCACTAACAAGGAAGCCCTCAGTGCCCATCACAAGGAGCATATGCCATATTTTCCGGTCGATAGGTCACACCTTTGCTTAAGTTGTACCTTACTGTAAAGCGCTGTTTTCATTGAAACATTGCTATTTTGGCTCCAACCTTGTACAAGACACACCTATATATTTGTATGATGGGCACGGCAAAGATTAATCGAAAAGCCTGCATATGTGTACTATTAATATTGCAATATATGCGCAAGCATGAACCAGTTCCAATATTGTCGTCAATGAATTGAACAATATATCCCCAGTGGCAAATTTCAGAAGTTAAAGGGGCACAGACACTGCATTGGTGATATTTTTATTTTGTTTTCTGAAACAGATCAAATTGTTGTCATAAACACAAAAAATACTACAATGCCAAAAAAAACTTTTCCCACGCGCATGCATGCCTATTTTTTTTTGCAGCTTTTCTTTCCCTGTTTTCACCTCCTGGCTTCTTTTTATTTGTGACATAATCAATTATGATATTTAGAGGCTTTGTAAACGACATTTTTATATTTAATAACGGCATTCGCAAATCATGTTTTTTCACATAATTGCAAACGCATTACTGGGCATAGTGACTTACAATTGCGTTAAAAAACATGTTTTACTGTTGCCGTTATTATATATTTTATAAATTATGCCAGGAGACGTCATTTCCGGACCCTGGTGGGGCTTCTTTTGAAATCTTGAAAATTGATGTCTGTATATGATGTAGTCTCCTGGTTTTTTTTATCCTCCCTCGGAAAACATGGTGGCGCTCGGCACATTTAGCGCTCAGGATGATCGGGAGTCGGGGAATCGGACGATGTTCTCTTTTTGGTGTCTGACGACCTCTCAGACTTTGAAAAGGAAATTGTCAAACAGTCAAAACAACTGGGTTTGTTGCCTGTGCACCATAAATTTGGTTGTGGCTCGACCAAGGTAGCCTTTCACGCAGCACTGGTAAGACATGGCCCCTCACGTCGCTCACAAAAGCCCACTGCACGTCCTCATCGACCTCATCGTTTTAAGGAATTTGAGATCGCTGACAGGGCTCTAAGAGAACTTCAAACTCGAAAGTGAAGCATTGTCTGCTTGCAGCGATAAGAGACAAGCACGGAGAAGAGCGTTTATTGCGGGATGCGTAAGAATGCGACACTTCCGGTTGGGACGGTTCGGATGCGGGAGAGAAACTCAAGTTAGGACGACTCGTTCTTTGACCTGTTCACCAGCATGGATCGCACGAAAACTTCAAAATTGAAGTTTGGAAATAGTTTTTTTTTTTTTCTTTACTTCACCAGTACTGGGTTCCTAAGCTTCGAATTTTTAGTGTAATGTTTAGGCATTGTTTTCAATTGTTTCAGATTATAAAAAAACTTGTGATTTTGAGCTGTCAGTGCTCCTTTCAGGCCCGTGGTCCTAAAAAAGAATGCATTTAAGTTGTGTAAAATGGACAGACGGAAATTTTTGGTACAAAAATACAGCCTATTTATTGAAGAATACGGTAGGTGTGTATTTGTTCTTCCATGCCTCGGAGCTTTTTACTATTCCTGGCTACTTCAAGTTGATCACATTCCGTGACACGGCACTCAAGCAGCCAGGCACCTGCTGAAGCAAATGTAGAGCATGAGATGAAGCCGGAACATCCCATAAAATATTTTGAGACTAGATATTTCTGTGCAGCATGTTCAACCAGTTCTCAGCATAATGTCATTGAAATAACAAATACTATTTCATGATATGAAACAAGCTCTGCCATCTAGAGTTCATTCACCTGTGTGAATGATTCTCTCCCTAAGTATGCTTAGTATGCACTTGTGTTGTATTCCTTGCATTGGTTGTTTTTTTATTTCCTAACTTTTTATGCTGATGTAACGTTTTGTGTTAATGTTTTGCATGTCATACAGCCCATTGGCAAAGGTTTGTGGTCATGAAAAACAAAGAAGTAATCTTCGTATTAGTATTCTTTAGTGATCTTTCATTTGGGGCTTAAGCCTCCTTCCAGCAAAGAAAGGAGCTAAGACAGGTTAAGAACACGGACAGGCAAACAATTAAACTGAGAATTGATATTCTTATATCATAAAACTGACATGCTTTGCACTTTCCACTTTCGCCCGACTCCTATTCTGTATCTTCTCCATTTCTTTGCCTTGCACCGTCTTGACTCTTCTTGTAGCTTAGGAGAGGGGGAACGCTAAGAGAATAATGTCCCTTGCAGAAGACCGAGGTTGTACTTTTGCCTTTAAATTATGCAAAATCACACATCTCTTTTTATACTTTCCAATTATCATGAGCTCCTGTATAAGTGTGGTTAAGGTAGGCTTATCATTACCCCTTTTTTCACATTGCAGAGAAGTACTTTGTCTGTGTTTTGCAAGGTAACTTCTAAATTCTGAACAAATGGCTTCTATCAAGGCCATACATTTCAGTATGCATTGATTACCATCACAAACATGCTGTTCAGTCCTGTCAAGCAAAATATTTGCCATGTTCTTTCTTTTTGCAACTGTTCTGTAACGTGGAATCGCTTGGTTGGAGTCAAATCCTTGTTAACTCAAGTTTTCGAGCTTTCAGGACTGAGTTGTTTTTGGTAAAATGTCATACAGTTGTTTGTTTATTTTTGTTGATGTCGTGGTTCTTTTATTTTTATTTTTATCCTTATGTGCCCCACCACACTCCCCTGTAATGCCTTTGGACCTGAGGGTAACTGAATAAATAAACATGAAGAGAGTGAAAGTGCGAAACAGACACAACCCTTCATTTGTTTGGTTCTTTTACTTCGTCCCTTTGCTCTTTTCATCGGGATGCCATGCATCACCTTGTTCAAGTCCATACACTGCTGCAGCCTAATAATACAGCATCAATGTCACCTTTCTCTCTACTATAGCTTTCTTACCAAAAAAGAGCCACTCCCACAACCAGGTTTTGCACAGGAGACAGCTTACCAGCCATGTATTGCATGGTCACGACTCCAGAACATCGTCTCTTGCAGTTGAGAAAGGTCAAGGGTGCATCACGGTTGGAGGGGTTCACCTGCCGATTCCTGTAGATTACTGTTTTGACGGGAGGTGGGGTATTCCGAGGTCTGGACCAAGGAACAACAACAACGGACTACAACAGTTGCGGCACTCCACCTTTTTCATGAAATCTTCACTGCGCCGTCACGTCTTGGATGTGGAATGTGAACAGCGACCTAGGATGTCGCAGCATAAAGGTGCTATTGTGCCCTTATGCTGTCGTAACAAACAGTTGTTTATCCTTACTAGCATCGGTTGTTAGAGACATTAAGAGAAAACAATGCAACGGAAGGTATAAAAGGAAACAAACGAACTAGAAGACAAGTGTGTGCAAATGCACCACCTTGTTTGCACACACTGAAGTCCTGAAGCAGTTCAGCAACAAGCGTTCGAGAGCACTACGTGAATGGAGACGCGCGTCTCCTTTGAAATGACATTTTTGCTATTTTTTGTTAATTTAAAATGAAAGAAGTGTCGCACACATTTTTTTTGTTCATTGCACTCAGTGGTTTAAAAGGAAAGAATCAGTTAATTTTACTAGGCATTTTTAAGTTTGTTGCCATGCGTTGTGTGCACAAGAACATGTTTTTTCCTTCATGTACATTGCATCAAAAACCTAAAAATAAGCTATATCCAATCTAACACCAGATTATAAAGAGAAGGTTAAGCACCATAAACTAAAAATTTTATTTCGATATTGTAAATAATAACAATAAATTTTCCTCTGGCGCATGTCCCCTTAACAACTTCACGTTGCAGTACGCCAGTGGTTGTGCACACTAAGCCCCCAAAGAGGGCACTTGTAGAATTATGTGTTTAACTTGCATCTGCAAACAAACCATTAATGACCTGGCTTGCATTCCAGGTGTTCATTGGGTACAAGTATTGCAAGTTTACATAGTACAATTGCACGCGCACTCCACATCAAGTGCGCGTGAAATTGTACTGGATCTTTATACAACCGCTTTGCGAAGGCGGATCTACTTCCAGTGTGAATGAGCGGTAAAAGCCTGAGCGCTCGCACAAGCGGCCTAGCTCTCGGTGAAACACTCGCACAAAGAAACACACACACACACACACAACATAAATAGCATTGCATCGTTTCTTGCTTTGTTGCTTACACTGCAAGCTGAGAGGCAATCATCTTTGGAGACTACCTCAACGGCGCCGTGTTGCGCCGTTTGCTGTGCGAGCAGAAAACAAGAGCGTAAACATGCCAAAATGTTTAAAGAAAAAAAAATTTAGCTTCAGCTTTTGGTTGAGCTAGGAAATTTTAATTGTCTATAAAGCTCTTTTGTTGTTTTTTTGCCAGTTTTTTACGTCCCTCTTCCAGTAGTGTCGTGTATTTGTATCTTTGTATTATTTTCAAGTTCATTTCCTGCTGGACTTGCATAAGCATTTTGGAGACTGACCTCGCACCTGTGAATATTGTTACCAATGATTCGAGAGCCCCGATTCGGTTCATATATATTTATGAGCAATTACAATTTCAACTCAGTGTAAATAATTGACAATACCATGATGTTTGTATGTGAATGCAGTCGTATTAGCAGGTGTGGATTTTAGTTTTATACCAAAGCTTGTAAAATATTCATATGACTAATTGTCACATTTTTATTTGCCGGGCTAACAAAACCCAGTCAACACAATTTTTCCATTTAGCGATCTGGCATCTTCCAGCATATGAACTAATTTATTATTATTTATAAAAATATATAAGAATGTAGTACTTTATTGCCTCACACTGTCAAGTTCCATCATGAATTTAACAATATTCATAAAAGGAAAGTACAATATGTGGCATTTATGCAGCGATGCTTATGCCTCCTCAAACATTGGGGCAAGGAATGAACAAATATGTTTCATTCTATACAACCCGTTTAAAGTTAGATGGCCCAAGTCTGGTCGCTCTCAAAAATAAGTAATTGTAAAGTAATTGCATTACTTTTTAAAAGTAATTTGTAATTGTAATTATTTACTTTTCAAGTAGTAATTGTAATTAAACTACTTTTGAAGCAAGGTAATTGTAATTAAATTACATTTCGGAAGTAATTTACCCATGTATGAAATTTCGCATAGATGCGACGCCGTTGGGTCATTGACATTTTTGGCCAGTAGTGTCCAATTTATCATCCTTTTTCCCAATCCTAAAAAGCGAACCCCCCTGATCCAGTCCACTAATGCCACACCTCTGCAAACAAAACCAGTGTGGTGCAGTATCCCTCTAAAGGATTTCCCCTAAATGACCTCCTCTAAATAACTTCCCCTGAAGGACTTTAGCTAAAAGACTGCAACTTTTTTTAGCTATCTCAGATAGTGACCTGCCATTTTTATTATGTTGGGGTGTACATCCATGCTGCCCCAGTCCTTTTAACAGGAAATATGCCAAGTTGTTTTGCATTGCCTCCAGTCGTAATATTTTTTTTTCCTTTTGTGTTGCAGCATACAAAATTGTTCTATATATTCAGTGATGATTCCATTTGTTCTGTTCATGCTTTCCTGGCTTTATTACTTTTGGATTTAAATGTTTTGTAATAGGTGTGACCTAACTCACTGGAGAGTTTCTTGCATTGTTACACATTTTTGGACATTAGCAGTGCAGCTTGGTTTGCTGAAATTGACCTTAAACGTGAAGAGTGTGCCATACCACTACATTGGGATCTATGATGCTTGTCTATTCAACCCCTTTCCAAACCTTGCGGTAAAAGTCTGTGGCCATCGTCTCAAATAAAATCTAGGGAGTACATCATTAGGGAATACATAGGTTTGGGAGGGCTTCACCACCACCAGCCAACTTTTGGAACAACCATGTAGAGGTCGCAAGTGGCGCCCCCTCACTCTGTCGCTCCTTCGTTCGAGTCTATATAATCGGCGGCTCGAATAAAGCACTTCACTTGCCGACTGGAATCCGATGCGTCTGCGTGTCACTCAACTCCGCGACATGGT